GAAGGTACAAAAGACAAAAAAATGCTTTCCCGCCTTCTATTTCTTACAAATTCGAATTAATATCCAATGTAATTGCTGTGGTGTTTTGCTTAAGTGCATCTGCAATTGCTTGGCCTCCTTTAGGACCAAGATGATTATAATTAAGATCCAAAGAGGTCAATTTGGTATTCCTGATGAGTGCATTTGCAAATTCTTTTCCTCCTTTTGGTCCAAGGTTATTAGCACCAAGTTCCAAAATAATTAGCGTTGTATTCGTGCAAAGTGCATTTGCGATTTGCCTTGCTCCTACTGGTCCAAGATTATTCCCCGAAAAGTTCAAGTACGTCATCGTATTATTCGTACAAATGGCACTGGCTAATGCTTCCGCCCCTTCTGGGCTAATGCCACCATTGCTTAGATCCAAGGAGGTTAGCGTAGTTTTAGGCAGATTGCCTCTGTGAACCTGTTCACCTCTTTGGAATTATAAATAATATCATTATTATCATTAGTACCGGGTACATAATTAAATCCAATATTTAAGGATTTCAAAGAGGTATTCTTGCAGAGTGCATCTGCTTTCCTCCTTTCTGAGGCAAGTCCGTTATGGCCAAGATCCAAGTATTCCAGGTAGTTATTTTCGCAAAGTGCACTTGGCAACGTTTTTCCACATTTTGGACCAAGCAAATTATATGAAATGTTTAAATGTTTCAATGTAGTGTTTTTATAAAATGCATTTGCCAATGCTTTTACTTCTTCTAATTTAATTTCGTTGTTTCGAAGGTTTAAAAAGTTAACGTGGTGTTCTTGCAAAGAGCATCGGCTAATATTTTTGCCTCTTCTGCTCGAAGCTTATTATTACCGAGGTTCAAAGAATTCATTGTGGTGTTATTAAGGAAATGGTTAAATAAATGTTTGCCGTTTTTGGGTAATGTCAAATGAATAACCTTACTAGTTCTAAATAACATGATTAACAAGCTTAAAATAACACTTTCAACAATTTCAACTCCATCGTAATTTAGGGAGAGGGTGGGGCTTGGTAATGGAATATTAATATTAAATGGGATTAATCGTGATCGTTCTTCGGCGTTTAAGATCAGAAGAAGCAATCTTATTATTCTGGAGTCTTGAAGGTGGTAATCGGGTTCACTCCATAATATTGGTATAATGATTCTGCACCACTGTCGGCATACAAGGTCAAGCGTAAACAATGTTATGTAGTTATGTCTTAGGTTATAAAAGATAACCTGAAGACATTCGGTTGGTAGTGAAATCATTTTAAAAAAAAACGCAAAAATTAACGAAAAAAAATGCCAACTTGAAGATAAAACTGGGGAAATGCGTAGTATTATATGTGCATTTTTTGTTACACACATGAGAAGACAAAAGAAAAGGTTCCATTTTTCTTCATAATTGATAATTTAAAAAGGGAAAAACAGCCTCATCACACAAAAATATTGTATCTTGGTGGATCGTTAAGTGATGCAAGGGTCAACGGATCAATGATCAAGCACTTGCTGTTTATTTATTTAATTGGAATTAGGATAATGACGAAATTGGTCCACAGAGTAAGTATTTCTTTATTTGGTATAAATATCTTTTTCTTCCTACTCGCACTTTTGTTTCTACATTTCTATTGCATAACCATTACAGCATAATTATTCTTGTTACCTTTCACCGTCATTACTTAATTATTACCCCCATTACTCTTAACTGCCAATATCGATATTACGATCATTTAATCACAATTAATTACATCAGGTAACCGTCACTCATGTGACAATAATCATGAATAATTTTAGAATTGTAATTTCCACATTTCATTTACCATATCGATATATTATCAAAATCACTAAATCACTGCTAGCAAATAATTACTTAAGGCCAGACAATAGGAAAAAAGCTCAAATCAAAAAAACAATTAAACCAACTAGTCGTATAGTATAAAATTCTATATAATATGTAAAGGATTTATACTTAGTACAATAGCGATGGATTGATATTTATTAATTAATATACAGTTCATATTTAATTGATGTTATACATAGTTTAAATAACTTGTACTAGCAACTATCCCTTCATAGCAGACCTAGGATCGCCCATAAAAAAAATACAGCTGATATCACTTAAATCACTATGACGACATTGATTTTATGGCTTGTATATTAAATAATAAAATAATGAATTTTTTTTTTTTAAAAAAAAAAATTGATCGTAACAAAATGACAGAAATAAAAATTCATTGTAACCAATGTCATACAAAGCAAGCATATGAATGTTTTATTAATGAGAAAGGAAAACAAGTGACAGCATGTCAAAAATGCCGTAATAAACGAAAAAAGACATCGATTCAAGTTCCAGAACAAGTACAAGACCAAGAATATAATTTAAAATGTCAATCAGCTATTACTTTTGAAGATATTAGCGAATTTGTTTATAATTCACTAATATCTTTGGAAGGGACGAATGAACAATATGAAAGTGATTGTTTGGAACTTTATATTAATTTCGATGTTCAACTATCTCAAGACGACAATGAATCGATATCAGATGATATAAATGAGCATTATAAAAAATTGGGTTATAAAATAATATCATATATAGAAAAAGGTGACGGATATTGCTGGATCTATAAAACCCAAAATTTAAAAAATAATATATTAAATTTAATCTACTGGTGTAATTGTCATATTGAGCTTGGAAAACGTAAAACAAAAATTTCCAATATCAATAAACAAAGAGATACTTCTATTCGGCTAGAACGATATGATTGTCATGGAGCAATAAACATTAAAATATCAACAAAAAACAATTTAATTCA